CTAACAAGGTCTTCACCTTTACTTTCCAGGGTTTACCCTGATGGGTGTGACCGGTGAGTTTCTGGTTGCCTCCCCGCTGAAAGAACCCTGAGTGTTTAACTTCAGTCAACACGTACCTCATGGGGTTAATCATGTCCCAGTTTTTTACATACTGGATTGCAGGTGCGTTTTCTAGCGACGCTTGATCCATACATTTCGAATCCCAAACTTGGAAATATCTTAGGGTACCAAAATCCACGGTGGATCAAGTAACCAATTCCTTGGCTGTCGTTCGCGCAACCTCATGAAGTTGCAGATTATTGGTGGCTTCTTTGTTTATAGTCAACACTACCCAGGCTGGTGCCGTCGTGTACATGTCGTGGTAAATGTCTCAGCATGTCGCTGGATCGATTGTTGACTGTTATTATATCCAGGTTCTACTGTGTTACGTTTGTAAAAAAAATTGAGAGCGATGGTGGGGAACTCATCTATTTGTATAGGAACTCTAAAAATCCTCGAGTGGTTGCCAGTAAGAATTCTCTACCGCAGAAGAGAACCCATCTGAATCTGTTTATTCAGTGCTTCTATGGCCGTATCCCTTCGCAGGTCTTAGTAAGTAAGACAAAGCCCATTCGCCTCATCCATACTCAACCCCTTACAGCAGGGGCCATCCTTGCAATCACAAATCAAATGTTACAATCGTGGAGGATATATTTGTTCACCGGAAACAAAATTCTCACCGGGTTCTTGTTGGCAACTTCTGTGGCGGCCTGTGGAACGGGCGTTGCCGCTGCAATCGAGGCGTGGACATTTTCCGAGTGCGTACATACCTTCCTAACGGCACGACAGTTGCCGGAACCAATGTCATTTCAACGCTACAGACAGGCCAAGCTCGTAATGTTGCAGTCAATCGTTATGGTCAATTCTGCGCTTCTGTGTGCCATCGACGTGATCATCGCTGGTGAGCTGTATCTATTCCTTGTCGCATGACACTGCGGGCTAAGGTCCTAATTTGAGTTGTGATCACCGTTGTTTACACAAAATCGAAAACAACGTTCGCAAGGACGGATAAGGTGTTCGATCGCCTGATTCGTACCGCAGTGCGATCAGGTTTCTTCACTGGTGAGTAGTCTGACGCTCCATAGTGAAGCATCTAACGTAGTATCAGCCGTATTTTCACTGGGAATCCTCCTTTCCTTCCGCTTCTCGGCTAACACGTACATGATGTCGCTGTTTACCGTCCCAATCGGGCGAATTTACACACATGTTAGTCTCCGTATTCCAAATGAACAGATGACGCTAATATCCATCTTTGTCGTTCCAGACAATAATGGATCATTTCGTAAGCCGTAAAAAGCTTCGGGACACTCTATAAGAGTCTATACTAGAAGAATGGGACTGGCACTCGTCCTCCCCAGTCGAGGATATACAAGATGGCGGGCTCAGATAGATTTTGATCTGAGGCAGATGGAGGTAAAGCGAAGCAGATAGACTGATGTGCGGCACATTCTGGCAAACGCGACAGATAGCTATTTTGGGAATGTGCCTCCTTTGATCGAGCTCGGTTGCGGTCGCCGCCGCTTGCACGCGAGTTCGACAGTGAAAATTGTGCATCCTCTCTCTTCCTTCCACCCCCACCATCCCGACGTCCCGCGACGCGCTCGACGCGTTTCCGATGCGCTCAATGCTCCCCACCGTAGGAAGCACCGCCCAGCGCACGGCTGCCGACGCCGAACTCCTTGACAGCCTGTCTGACCGCGACTTGATCGCATTCCGGAATCACGTACATCACCTTCCTGCTTCTCATACTCTCATACTTACCTTACTCCCATTTCGAGGCTGACCGTTCTGTGCACGATTGAGTGTGAGCAAGAAAGGTGAGGTGAGGGATAAAAGAATCGACAACCCGTCAACATCAAGAGCAGCACCTCGAATCGAACGAGGGCCTCGGGGATAACAGGCAAATGTCACGTACGAGGGAACCCCGGGTGCACGATACACCACACTGTTTCAAATACCCTGCTTTGAGGGTCGGTGGGGTGCTATAAATTGTTGAGCAAAAGAAATAAAAACATGGAATTTCCAAGCATATACATAGCAGCACCTCGAATCGTACGAGGACCTCGTAGTAATCCCGGCAAACATCACCTAAGGAACCCCCAGATGCAGATGCACCATACACCATTCTGCCATTCTTAACTATCATCCGAGTATGGTATAGATAGAGTGCTAGAAAATCTTACCCTGGGCGACAGATTTATTCCGAACTCACCACGTGGCCAAACATCTCGCAGGCTACATGTTGCTCGTGACTTTGATCCTGCTGCTCGACGTCTCTTCCGCGATCGTCATGCGCTCGCTGCTGCTGAGAAGGCGTCACCGCTGCGTTGTCGAGGAGGCGATTGCGAACGGGACGTGGGTGCCCCCGGCCCCGCGTGGGTTGCGGGATGCGGACCTTGCACCGCCGGTGAATGTGGCGGAAGAGGGATATTTTGGGAGTTTCTAAACGGACAGGTACGTTGTGCTGGTTGACGACTGCTTCATGCACATATATTTGAACAGTCTAGGCAGGATGGGCATCGCTGCTTGAATTTCTGTGTCCTTCAATGAATGCATGCATAGATGATATAACGAGAGTGAATAACAGGTTGGGATGCATCTAAATATCCCCTACTTGTCCTCTTCCTCCTACTGTTCAACCTCCTTCCCCGCTGCAGTCCGAGTCCAACGATCATGCCATCTGATCACCCGAAGTTTACGAGCGTGGCCTCGTCGTCGTCTTTGTCTTGCGGGGTGGTGGCGTGTGGCGTCGTTGGAATAGGGGGTCGGCGGCCACCGCGCTGCCACGTCGAGATGGGGCGAGTGGATTTCGGCTTTAGAGGGGATGATGTTGTGCGCTTAGAGTTCGACGTGGAAGGCTGAGACTGGGCAGCCAGCTGCGCCTGGGAGACGGGGCGAGTGGCCTTCGCCTTGCCAGTGGACTGGAAAGGTAATTTGTTGAACTGTTGTGTACCTCCCATATATGAACTGCTGGAAGGGGGTGGCGGCTTGGGAACGGGAAGGTGAGCCCGAGCAGCTTGAGCAGCCTGCTGCGCCTGGGAGACCGGGCGCGTGGATTGCGACTTGGCAGACGTGAGGAAAGTCAAGCCATTGGCCCGCTGTGCACCTCCCCTGGTTGAGCTGCTCGCCAGGGGTCGATTCTCGGGGACAACAGCGGGAAGCTGAGCCCGAGCAGCTCGAGCAGCAAGCAGCGCGTGGGTGACGGGGCGAGTGACCCTTGGCTCTGAATCCCTAGGCTGCGAGGAAGTGGCGCTGACGAAATCGGGATACGGCATATATGAGTTGTTGAGGATAGTGTTGTGCGTTCGTTCGAGGTTAGTGCCTGAGGGTGAATCGTGGAAGCTTGGCGCTTTTATAGCCCCGAGGGATACGCCAATTGATCGGGATCATTTGACTATCGATCGATCATCGCGGTCCTCTGCAACAGAATTTTGATGGCACTTTGAATCTTGATGGACTTTGCACACATTCATTTTTTTTTTAAACTATGGAGCTTCGGGTTGTGCGAGAAGTACTTCTAGTCTGTGAATACGAGTAATTCAAAGTGCCTTAATTTTTGACGCGCAATTGAGGTCGCGGGGAAGTCCCCGAGGCGAGATGGGCTTATGCAAGATCTTTTACATCCGAATTTGGCGGGCCATCAAAATCCGACTATTGATTTTCACAGAGCTCAAAACTCGGCCATTAATAATATAAAAGAAGGAGTGCATATCTGCATCGTCTTGGGTGCCTGAACCTTTTTCTCGAGGTCGTTGGGCTAGAAATGAGACCGGAAAAGTGAAATCTTGCACAAGACCATCTGACTGCACAAGACCGCGATCGATAGTATGTGAAGTTGAATGGTGGCGGCACTGCGGCACTGCATTGTGCAAGTCGTACGTGGCAGCGATAAACTGTTCATCGGATGAGCGTATCCCTGCAGCGAGGACTAGCTAGAAGACTTAAGCATATTAAGACAAACCTCAACCAAGTTAGTGCAGGTGAGCGGAGGCTATCTAGACATACCTGTGTAGAGGGTGCACCGATGGGACCTTTTCCTGGCTCTGTTGAGCCCTGCCAGTTGAATTCGGCAGACCTCGGCTGTTGCTGAGCACCCCTCGGCCGAGCTGCCCGGAGGCGACCTCCGATGGCTCTGCCGAGGTTGGAAAATATATACTCGACAAACCTTCGCTAACCCCACCCAGTGAAGATCGACAGACCTGGGCACAGGGTATCATAGTGTACCTCCACAGACCTTTGTGGCCCCCGGCTAGATTTGTCTTAAATGCAGCGCTAGTGTTCGAGTGGTGGGGCTTGCCTATTAACGTGCAGGCTGAGGTTCCATCAAAATTTATGAGCATCATATTGAGCTATGCAGCCGTATGAGAAGCTGCGAATTAGATTCACGCTGTTCAAATATAAACTAAAGTTGAACCAACTTGAAGGCAACCATGAGAGTGTTCGCACGTGGGCAGCGATCGGATCACTTCGGTAACCTTCGCCAGTTGTGATCAGTTGAATCGTAGTCAGAGCACCGTAGCTGGAGCCTGAGGAAAGTATGTGTACTGGGCAGCACTCGAACGTGGGTTAGTTCTTGCTTCTCCGCATTGTACGAGAACCCTGCGTGCAGGAGACACCACACTTCCTGCTTCATGTGTGCATCGGAATTGAGTCGAAGTTCAAACATCATGTTTGACTCAATTCCGAACGTGGAACTCAGGGTTAATTTCTGCATTTGAACCAGGAGAACCCCGCGGCACTGTTACTGAGTTGGGGAATGAAAAAAAGTGATCCCCAATCGCAAATCTAGAAGAGCAGCACCTTGATTCGAACGAGAACCTCAGGGTTAAATTACTTGAAAACCAATGAAGAGAGCCCCTGGTGCACGGTACACCATTCTGCTGTCTTTCTCTGTTTCTGATGGGATGGTGTGTTAGAAGAATCTGTGAGCCGAGAGACAAAATTTTGTGGATGGGGTCGAAGAGCAGCACCTCGATTCGAACGAGGTCCTCGGGGTGAATTCATTCTCCACGCCAACATGAGAACCCCGGGTGCACAATACACCACCATACTGCTTTCCTTTCTCTATTTCTGACTTGGTGGGGTGCTAGAAAATTGCTGACTGGGAATAGACAGGTACTGTGTTCCTCCCACTCCTTCAAGTGGCTGGGGCGCTAGCAAAATTGCTGAGGTGAGCAGCGAAATAAACCGAACACAGATCCAGAGCAACACCTCGAATCGAACGAGGCCCTCAGAGATAATTATTTTGTACCAGTTGAAGACAACCTCGCGTGCAAAATGCACCATACTGATTTCATTGCTCCGTTTCGAGGGTGGTGGACTGCTAGCGAGATTGTTGGGTCCCGGTCAAAATGATATCAGCCAACCAGCAGAGCAGTACCTCGACTCGAATGAGGACCTCGGGGATTATTCTTCTCGGACCTTTCCTAAGAGTGGTCCGTGTGCAAGATACACCATACTGTTTTTCTTACCTTATTTAGAGGTGATAGCAAAATCTGGTGAGGTGACGAACAAAACGAAGCCGAGATGGAAGAGCAGTACCTCGATTCGAACAAGGACCTCAGGGTATACTACTATCTCATCCTAAGAGAGCCCCGTGTGCACGCTACACCATGCTGATTCTTGTATCTCCTTCGGAGTGGGTAAGGTGCTAGAAAACTAGCGAGCAAAGAAATTGAACGACGACCCAAAGCAGAGCAGTATCTCGAATGGAACGAGAACCTCGGGATTAATGGTTTCCCATCCGGTAAAAAAATTCCACGTGCAGAATACACCATACTGCTTTCCTCCCTGTTTTTTTGTGCTTGGTGGGGTGCTATACAATTGGTGGGTCGGAGAAATAAAAGGAAATTACCCAGGGCAGAGCAGCACCTCAAATCGAACAAGGACTTCGGGGATAACCGGCGACAGACACCCGGTAAGGGATCCCCGTGTGCACAGTACACCATGCTGCTTCCCTTGCGGTGTTTGAAGCTTAGTGTGATACTATAGAATCAGTGAGTCAGGGAGAAAAAGGAAATAAAATCGGGGTAGAGCGGCACCTCGATTCGAACAACGACCTCAGGGTATACTACTATCTTATGCAACTCAAAAGATACCCCGTGTGCACAATACACCATACTGCTTCCCTTGTCTACTTTTGAGATCGGTGGGGTGCGAGCATGGGGTGCGAGCAAAATTGGTCAGTAATGAAATAAAAAATCTTGCAGCACTACTGAGAGCAGGACCTCGAATCGAAAACGAGGACCTCCGGGATAAGTATTCCGTGCTCTCAGAGAACCCACGTGTGCGCAATCCACCATGCTGCTGGCTTTGCCCTGTTTTTGACTCGGTTCACTGCCTAAAAATTCTGGGTAAGCTGAGAAAATATTTCAAAGCACTGGATGAGCAACACCTCGATTCGAACGAGGACCTTGGGGTAATTGGACCTCACCACGGTATTACCAAGAGAACCCGTGTGCACAATACACCATACTGCTTTCATTGCCCTATTTCGAGGCTGATTGAGTGTGAAAAAAAGGTGAGGGAAGGGATAAAAGAAGCGATAAACCCTCCAGCTCATGAGCAGCACCTCGAATCGAACGAGGACTTCGGGGATAACAGGCAAATACCCTATACAAGGGAACCCCGCGTGCACGATACACCACGCTGCTTTAAATACCCAGTTTTGAGGTCGTTGGGATACTATGAATTGGTGAGCAAAAGAAATCAAAAATGGACGGCACAAGTACATAGCAGGATCTCGGATCGAACGAGGACCTCGGGGATGATGGCCGCGTCATATATAAGAGAATCCCGCGTGCACAATACACCATACTGCCTCTCTTACCTTGTTTTGACCTCGGTCAGGTGCTAGCAAAATTTATGAGTCCAGGAATAAAAGAGTTGGAAATCCTTGAGAGCAGGACCTCGAATCGAACGAGGACCTCGGGGATAACAACCAAATGACATATACAAGGGAACCCCGCGTGCACGATACACTACGATACACCATACTGCCTCAAATACCCTGCTTTGAGGTCGTTGGGGTGCTATAAATTGGTGAGCAAAAGAAACAAAAAACGTCAGCGACAAATATACATGACAGCACCTCGAATTGAACGAAGACCTCGGGAGGAACTTCTTTAACAGTGACAACACTTATCTATTCGACCCCCGCGTGCACCATACACCATGCTGCCATTCATGACACATGTTCGAGTGTGGTATACATAGAGTGCTAGAAAAATCTTACCCATGTGGCCACACATTTATTCCAAACTCACCGTGAATGCGGGATCGACGGGGGTCGGCATCATACGGCGCATAGTCCCACAGCGTGGACGCCACGGGTCGAATGGAGACTGAAGTGGGTGTCCACAGCTTGAGCGGAAGGTCTGAAAGTCAGCGCGCTTACTATGTTTTCGAGGACCGGGATGCATCATCTAGTTGGAGTGCGACCGGGGGAATCGAGGCAAGGCGAGACCGAGTGAACCAAGGCGGCGACGAATAAATACGGAATATCTGTGCGCGAGTGGAGCGAGTTCGGTAAGAGCAGTGAGCACAGAGGCGGATGATGGATCCCGTGGCTGTCGGCAGATGCCGCCGGCTCACGGACATTTCTTTTGTTGTCCTCGACGACGTTGGCGACAATAACGGGCTCGCGGCTGCCGACGAGCTCCAGTATCTGACGAGGGCTTCTGGTACCTAAAGACCACTATGTTCTGACTCTGCCGTGTCCACAAGCCCCTCCACACGCCACGAGCTCGACCCCGCCGTTCAGCCTCTCGCAGACGTTCACTGACCCGGTCTCCTCGCCGCCCGCGCTCCTCACCGGCACCGGCGGGCCCCTCCCGAACCCAACGCGAACAACGGCCCCAGGCGACTACCCAGCTCTACCGTGCGTCCCCTCTTTATCCCAGCTACCCTACAACTGGCCTAGCATCTCGCAGTCTACACCTTGCTCGCAAATTTAATCCTGCTGCTCTGCGTCTCCTCCGCGATCGTCATGCGTTTGCTGCTGCTAGAAGGCGCCCCCGCCGCGTGGTCGAGGAGGCGATTGTGAACGGGACGTAGGTACCCCCGGCACGCTGGTGAAGGTCGATCCAAAGAAGAAGCCGCCGTTGTGGGACGCGTAACTCGCGCCGCCGATGAACGTGCCAATGGGCGGTGGGCGGTGTGGGGGTAGGAGGAGGGGACAGGGAAAAGGACGAGGGGGAGGCGATTGTGGTACGTTCACTTTCCTTTCGTTACACTGCATCACACATATTTTCATTTCATCACAATCCTTGCCCGCGTTCGTCCTTTGTCCCCCCACCATCCCTCTGCGCTGCACCGCCGTCCCCCCGATACACCGCCAACCGTCTTCCTATCCACTCCCTCCCATCTTCTTGCCCGTATCTACGCATCCCCTACGCTTCCCTCTGCGCCACCCTACACCGTCCACTCGTCCCCGCCCCCGCTCGTCATATCCACGCTCCGCCCACGCTCCATCCGCCCCGCCTCTCCACTGCATTCTCCCCATCGAAACCGCGCGCGCGCGGCTTCCGTCATTCCCTCTGCCTAGCCTACCTTGCCCGCGGACTGGCCTGTCGTTATCCTACCCTTCTTCCCTCGCTTCATCCCCTGACCCTACGTATCACCGGCTGATGCCCTCCCGACAGCCCTTCGGAGCATCCTACACGCTGCGTTCCCCTCCCACTCCCCTCGCACGCCCCACCTCCAGCTCCGCCTCCTCCCTTCCCTGCTTTTCTGCCGCTTCCTCACCCGAATCCCAGCGTAATCAGCAAAGCAGCGGACCAGAAGGAAGCGGGCGCAGAGCAGCTTTGGGGTGCTCCTCGCTACCCCCGTGCCGCCCTCCTCTTTAGAATCGTAACTCCCACCGCCGACGTCGTGTGCACCCCTCACGCAGCTGGAGCGCGAGAGCGCCGCGCCCGACGTGGGCGGATGCTGCCGCAGCTCGCTGGTGGGGTGGTGCCGTCCGAGGGCGCGCGCGAATAATAGCCTATCCGCGGCACCGGATTCGGTCGCACCGCCTTGGATTCGGTGGAGGACGCCGTCCAATTCGCACACCTCCCGACACCGTGTCGCCGAGCCTGTTTGAGGTGCTCGGTTCTCTTTCAATGCCCTCCCGTGCTAACCCGCCGCAGATGTTCGGCTCACGGGGTCTGCGAGCGCGTTGACGGCCGCCGCGTACGGGCGACGCGGCCGCTCTCGCGCTTCTTTGCGGTGGAGGCGCGCGGGACCAGCTTATCGAGCGGCGCGTGCGGGGATCAGCGATATGGACTGCCGACCCCGGAGTGGCCTCGCCGGCACGCCAGCGCGGGTCATTATCTTGGGAGGGAGAGCTCGAAGTACGTGATGCTGTTTTCCCTTCTCCCGGATTCCTAAGCTGACCGTGTTCAATTCCAGAAATCTTTCCGCCGAATCCGGGCTCATCTAACCCGACTTTGGGTATATTTCCTGCATCACGAAGACATGTGGTGGACGAATCCGAGTGCCAGTGCGGATATCAGCCGCATCATGCCTATCTTCTTCGAGGACTGCATTGATTCGGAAATCGTCGAGGGCGCTGGAGGAGATTTCCTCGACGTGGCCTCGCTTGTAATCGCCCATACCAACATGATAACATCCACAATTTCCGTGAGCCGTACAGTGGAGGACGAACATTTACACTTTGTCGAGTTTCTTCACGCCGGGCTCGTACAGTCATACGAGATGATAACCGCGCTCGAGGCCCTCGAGTTTGTGACTCCCCTCAGGAAGCTCGCAACTGTGCTCTGGTCAACGGAAAGTCCACGCCTCGCCTCTCAGATAATCGAGCGCTGTCTTCCGCTAATTGAATCGCACTTAGCAAACTATCCAGGAGCACGGGAACAACGAGAATGCTGTCCAGAATATACTGCGAGGTGTCTTATCTGGGACCCTCACTTTCTACTCAGTTCTTGGTCGCGTCGAGAAGGCGCTGCTCCAGGTCGACAGCCTGAATCTGACGCCAGGTCTCCGTCGCTCAACCTTATGGAATGACTGGGCAGCTTTCCGTCAGCTCGCCGAAGAACGACTGGTTGCCAAAGCGAAATTTGATGAGGAGCACCCATCTATCAAGTACTGCGACAATATCGAGGTTCGAGTCATTCCATTCCTCCCTGTCTGCAATAACTCAGTGTCATTCGCAGTGCATTCAAGTTTCTGCTTGTAACGATTTCCGACGGTGTTCGCGCTGCCGCAGCGTGTCCTACTGCTCTCCTATTTGTCAGAAGAAAGACTGGACCTCGGGAGAGCATCGCAGCGTGTGTAAAGGAGCGCAATCGAAAGGTTCCTCTTTTCGCCTGCCAGTTTTAAATGATACTCATGGTGGAGTCGATCTCGACATCTAGATCTCGAACTTCCTCATCTCTCTGCACGAGAACGCGCCTTCGGCCTGCGATACCTCGTCCGTCAAGACTACCTCAGACGCAAGGACGTAATCATCGAACGCTCCACTGAGTTCTTCTTAGAGTTTGGCGAGAGGCAGCCCTGCTACACGCAGTTCAGCTACGCCGACGGTTTTCTCAACATAAAGGTCCTGCCGGTCAGTGCCCTTACAGCCCGCATCTCGAAGCCGGACAGCGTTCGGGGGCGGTACGAGATCGCACGCCTCGCGCGCAGCGACGGCAAGATGCAACTCCATCTCGCGGTTATCGCGGACGCCGGATGGGGGCGTTTCATTTCTGCCCGATGCGCACCACCCATGCCCAGCTCCGAGATGCCTTGCCTCTGCTAGCGAAGGGGCGGGGTGTGGATGAGTCCACGCACAAATCGCTCCGAATGTATCGAAGGATGATGGTGGGGTTAGATGACGATGTAGAGGAGGTTCATCAGCCAGTTTATTCCTGGATCATCCCTGCGCAAAGCACTATGGGCGACTGATTCGTCTGAGGCAGGATCACCAAATGGCAATGTTGTCGAACATGGTTCCGTTCCACGGCCGATGGAATAATTATATGTATCGGACACAGATTATGTTCGAGCGGTTATCGAAAGGCGCACGAGTAATTTCTGGCCGTGTCACGTTAAGATTTTAGCCCCAGTTCCTCCGCCAAAATCTAGATTGCTTGAGAACAAACTGTTATCAACCTGGCTTTAGATTGAAAACAAGCGGACACACCAGATGCCTGCTGAAAAAGCGAGAGTCTTGAAACGCTCCAGGGGCAAACCAGAGCCCAGGCGCTCCTGTGGGCCTGTAGCAAAGTGTAGGTTCTCCCTCATCATCCAGTCCCCAGATTTTGGATCCGATTTTGTCTGTGATTCCCTCGCCGAGATAGAGACGGCGTTGGCAATGATTGGTTCGTTTCCTGTGCTATATGAAGTTGAGTAGGTGAAAGGCGAGCAGCGTTGAGCACACGTACGCGAGAACGATAACGTCCGCCGCAATTCGAGAACCATCTCCGAAGACCATGGCATCTGCCTCCACCCTCTCGATTTCGACGCCCTGTTTGACCTGTCGGAAATAATTCGGGAGTTCAACATTAGCCAAAGGAATGAATACGGACAATCACCTTGATTTTGCCGTCTATGATTAGTTGACCGACACCCGTGTCCAGCACTTGGCGGAGGCGACCAGGAAATAATTAGTTGAGCGATATATCCAAGAAAATTCACTGACTAGTTCCAGAAGCTATTCGCTAGACAACGTATAAGCTCGTGGACGGACACCGACAGATTCCGCTCGCACTCACGTCCAAGAAGAACCCCAGGAACCCAACTTGCTCACCCCCTGGAGTGAGCTCCCACGTCTATTTAAAACGTCTTGGCCAAGTCATCGTGGAGCTTTTGGTCGAGATTTTTACGCGCTGCGTGCCACCCCCAGCTGCAAGTTTTACTGTCGTTTGCTTAATTCCGTGAAAACGCGAAAAAAAAAAAAAAAAAATCGCAGGTGCACGTGATCTCCGGCAGACGATGCCGAAGTTCTAAAAGTTCAAATATGTTCCATATGGGAGTCGGCGACATCGGAAAGGGTTCTACGAGGCTTATTTACCCTTTGCTCCTCTAGTTAGAATTCTTCACCAAGCATCCCAGGTGCATGGCACTATCCGGCGTCGTCTGCCGACGGTCACGTGCACCGCGAAACTTTTTCGCGTTTTCACGGAATTAAGCAAACGACAGTATTGCCAATGCATGGGGCATTGATTTATTCAGGAGGTCACCGTCCTCTCTAGCCATA